AAAATAAGGAAAATATTTTACAAAGAAACTTTGAATTAAAAAAATACACAGTGTGTATTAACTGAGTGTGTGTGTGCCCATCGTCATGCGTGAGTGTCTGCATGCCTGTAACTGAGTGTGTCTGACTGTCTGCTTGTAACTGTTTGTGTAACTGTCTGCTTGTGCCTGTGAGTGTGACTGTATACAGCTTTTTACTGGGGGGATGGGGCGCCGTGAAGACTTTTCGCACAGGGCGCCTAATGGCCTAAGGCCAGCCCTGAGTGTGGATGCATTTAATATAGAAACATAGAAACATAGAATGTGACGGCAAATAAGAACCATTCGGCCCATCTAGTTTGCCCAATTTTCTAAATACTTTCATTAGTCCCTGGCCTTATCTTATAGTTAGGATAGCCTTATGCCTATCCCATGCATGCTTAAACTCCTTTACTGTGTTAACCTCTACCACTTCAGCTGGAAGGCTATTCCATGCATCCACCACCCTCTCAGTAAAGTAATACTTCCTGATATTATTTTTAAACCTTTGTCCCTCTAATTTAAGACTATGTCCTCTTGTTGTGGTAGCTTTTCTTCTTTTAAATATAGTCTCCTCCTTTACTGTGTTGATTCCCTTTATGTATTTAAATGTTTCTATCATATCCCCCCTGTCTCGTCTTTCCTCCAAGCTATACATGTTAAGATCCTTTTAACCTTTCCTGGTAAGTTTTATCCTGCAATCCATGAACCAGTTTAGTAGCCCTTCTCTGAACTCTCTCTAATGTATCAATATCCTTCTGAAGATACGGTCTCCAGTACTGTGTACAATACTCCAAGTGAGGTCTCACCAGTGTTCTGTACAATGAAAGAGATAAATTATTTTTGAACAGACATATAAGTCAAATTCCAGGTTTTGTTTTGATTTTGTTTTGATTAGAACTTGGACAATTACATCCGTCCTTAACGTGTTGATTTCACATTTCGGTGTGATTTTGATGTATATTGAGGGATATATACACAAGGGTCTAGAGTCTTATGTATTTCTTATATTTCACACGATATACTTTTATTTTTTTCTTTACTCTGGAAGGAGCCAGGGCACAACTGACACCATAACCACTACATCGGAATATATATTAGCATGATAACTGCAAGAAGTTTATTACAACAAATATATTTAAAGTATCAGAAATTTTTATAATGTTGAATACATTTACAAGTACATTTTTAAAACACACATTTGAATCTTTAGTGTACATATAGTGATAATTATGGCTAGATTTTCCTAAAGTCCCATGAAGATAATTATCTCATAGTCTCCTGGAAGCATATTTCATATGGCTCGGGGATCTCCTGAGAATCCCTATTTTCTGCTGTAGAAATATAACACGCAGATCTGGACACATCTCGTGGTCACGTTATTCTGCGATGATGCTGATCGACAAAC